CTTCTTTTTTCTCGTTATAATAGGAACCGCTTATATTGGAAGCTTGAAAAAGGATGCCATTTACTATATTTGACAAAAAGAAAAGATGGACAATGAATTGTGCCTTTTTAATATTTTCAGAATATTCTCTAGTATATACTTTATGGTATCTTAAGGTTAATAGTTTGCTATTTGTGTGGTGGAGCTTGCTTTCTAATTATGAATTTGTATTATTTGATATCCAGACACATATTAGAACTTAGCATTTGTACTTGTCTGTATTTAATTTAGTGTTTGTATGCTTTTTTCTTCTACTGCATTTTTTGAATTCTACCAAACTTATCCAAATCGACCCAGCTGAGTTTGAAAGTGCTCAAGTTTGTTTCTGCCAAGGTTCAGTTGCATAACTCAGTCCTAGTGAAGACCACCGAATGTCAAGTTCATTTCTTTCTTAAAGGCCACTTGAACTCAAACCTACTCAATACTATTTGAATAGGACCAACTTAATTATTTTCGGAAGGCTAATTGTGCAGCTCATCCCCAGTTGAGAGTTCTAGACTGGTCCAGCTCATTTCTTTTTTAAGGGCCAAATGCGTAACTTGGCTCCAGTCGAGACTACTCAACTGGGCTGACTTCATTTCTTCAAGGCCAATAAGATTTCCTTGTGTTCAAATCATTCACACAGGAAACGTCACCCAAAGGCTAATCCCTGTCCCCACTTCCATAGGTTCGGGGAATGGGGCAGGAGTAAGGTTATCTTCCTGGGGATGGGGATGGGAAATGATTTGGACAGCACCACATTCAGCATCAGAAAACAAACAAAAGTAACCTTGAATCATAAACAGAAAAGACTCAAGTAAATATAATAAAATGTTGGCACTGTTGTAATCTAAATATCAATACACCTGAAGTACATATAGAAACAACGACTAACATTTCACATTGCAACCTCCAAACAAAACAAAACACAAACGAAAAGAAGCGTGGGAAAAATACTTGACATGAAGTAGGAACCTGTTTATTTCTCTTTCTCAGACCAAGCTCTTCAAAGAAATTTTATGTCTATATGTTTCTTTTTCAGTGTATTTTAAATACTTCAATATTGTCCTACTCGAAGCCAAAATTTAGTTCAAAGCTTAGAAAATACTGCCTTTCCTCTTTCCTGCTTTTTGTCTTTCAAATTCCCCCCAATGTGCTTGAGAACCTTTAATTTGTCTTAGACTCTCTCCACAGACTAGCGCTGGCCTCTTGAAGCTAAGCTTCCAGTTTGCACTAAAGACCACGAAGTTCAGTGAACTATCATTATATTGTGGGGAATTTTATAAATATTATCAGTTTGACTGAACATAAACCAGAGAAACAGAGTTGCTACTGTAGATCTTACTTTCTTATTGATCGACTTTATCTCCAAGCTGTATNNGATCGACTTTATCTCCAAGCTGTATAAATTGCAAGAAAAAAATCCAGCTTATACATTGTATCGCTTTATATTGTATGTCCCTTCATCCTCTTAAATATTTCCTTCAGTTACTAATGCCTTGCTGGTAATATGTGAAAGCAATTTGAATGCTAAAGTAGAATTTGAAAAAAAGTAAAAACAAATAAAAATAAGACTCTGGACATTGAGAAAATTACTGTTTGTCATTTAGTTTTCTGCTAATAGACCACCCAGATTAGTGAAACTGGGAAAAACAATTAAAATTTCCATATAGAGACAAAATTGGAAATAATCTACAGCTGAAGCAAATTCTTCAAAGGGCTATTTCTATACTAATCAAAACTGAGATCTTCCTACAATTCAACCAATCTAAATGGTAACAACTCGCACGCAATCAACCGATTCTGCATATATACGAAGACAAATTAGTGAACAGGCAA